CTTTCTATATGCTATGCTATCTTCATTGTTCTTACTATTGTTTGCTATGAATTGAGTTTTTCATCTGGGTTAATTCCTCATTGAATTTAAACTTCAATTTCTTTGTTTTTTCCGAACTTTTTTCTTTTGGAGGCATAACGTATATTGACATGACAAAAAATCAGTTAGGAATTTAGCTTTCTTATTTGGACAAGTAATACTATAAAATTTTTCATTATTAAAATAAGTCATGCTATTTATGAAATCATATACACTGTTTACACTTATAGGTCTGCATATCACATACTCCTCATTAGCTTTCGAAGCAGTTAAGTTGAGATCAAAAAGTATACCTCGATGATCAGACAGATGTGGTTCGATTACTTCAGCCGAAAAATCTTTTTCAATGTTGGTGAAACTATTATCGATTCTAGTGCTACTGTTCGGAGTGACTCTGGTGTCATCATTCACCCTTTCAGTCAAGTTATAGGTCAACATAACATTTTTACAATCATTTACCACAATGTTACATTGATTAAAATCAATGTTATAGTCCCCTACCATAATTACCTGTTTATCTCCCGCCACATGTGCTAATACATTGTCAACTGCATTTAGGTACGCATTTATTCCCTGCCCTCTGGGTAACCTATATGTGCAGATTATAATCGTTTTTTGAGATAATATTTCAATTCCAGAAAACTCAGCAGTTTGTTCTAAACAAAATTCAGACAAATATATACCCTTCAATTTCAGATTCAAGTCATTTCTAGAAAATATACATATTTCTCCATGTCCAATATTTTCCCTGCAATAAAACGATATGAGGCTGAAATTTGGAATAATAACACTGTTAACTTCTGTCTTGTCAACCCACGTTTCAGTGACCGATATAAGATCAATAACAGTCTCTGACAAGAAATGCTCCAACTCACTGACTTTGTTACTAATGCTCTGAATATTAATATAAAACATTTTCAAAACCGACTTTGAATTTATTTTCATATCCCTTCTGTCTGACTTAAAAGTACAAAATTTATTAGTCGTTTCTAAGAGGTTACTTGCGATAGCCGTGGGTATAAAAATGATTGCTTTCTTCTTCCCTGGGTGTGATAAGATTGCTTTCTTGCAGCTCACTGGATAAGGATTTGTTCAGAATTCCTGAATTCTTGCTGTGGAACAGCTTTTTCTGATAGGAAATTACAAATGGTTCTACATAGAAACAACTTCCCTTTAGTAGACAGAGAGTACCCATCTCTAAGATAATTTGGGCATACGTAGTTCTTGCATTCAAATATGCAAGAACTACGTATGTTCATCTGATGCAGTTCTTTCTTCAGCTGTAAGTTGCCCTGGTATATTTCGTCATCGATTCCCCTAATATCATATCTGTAAGGTTCCGTCATAATTATAGGATGTGTGTGCTTTAAGTTCAATATAAATTTCATTGGAATACTCTTGGATAATTTTTCCGACCATATGAAATAAAATCGTTCTTGGTAAAATTTTTAGTGTTGTCTATAGCCGTCTCTATTAGTTTATCGAGAGTACAGTTTGGTTTCAGAATTGATTGTATTGAGTAGTTTTGCCTATTTTGTGCCATCAAGAGCCTGGCCATGTCTCTACCATGATAATCTGCTATTATAAGTATTGTATTTTTGCCTGTAGCTGACTTATACTCCGTTTCACCACTTTGTGGTACTTTGCACTTCTGGTTATGGGTCAAAGTAGAGGTCTGGGTGGAAATTGTAACTGTGGACTTCTTTGTCGTCTCCCTCGGCGTTGTGTTTGTTGGCATTGTGTCGGTTTGGGTGAACCTCGTTTCAGTGGGGTTGTTCGTTGTGTCCTTAAGCTTTTTTTTCAGTTCATAAATTTCGTTCTTAGCACGTTTGATCAATTCCTCCTGTAGTTTGATAGTTGAATTTAGTTCTTCTTCTCTTTGTGTGACTTCCTTTAAAAATAGTTCATTCTTCTTAAGAATTTTTTCAATGTGGGCGTCTTTCATTTCATTACTCTCTTCCAGCTCACATATCGTCTGTTCCAAAAGGCTCTTCTCATTTTCGGGGTTGTTATCTTCTATATTACAACAAATGATTTGGAAGTTCATGATAAATTTGAATTTTTGCTTATTAGACTGTACGCAGCTCTTGTGAAAAACTTTGAAGCATTTAACGCAGATGAAGTACGACAGAGGAAAAGATTGTCTTACAACATTCAAAATTAGCCATTTGTGAAAGAATTGATTTTCTGTACTCCTAACTATAATGTTATAATACAGCAGCGATGGTACGATAGCCACTCCTGATTTAAGTTCAAATTAACGATAAAAACACAGCGTCCTTTTTGTGTTAATATAATCTTTGCTTTTTTATCTGATTGTAAGAAACAATCATTCACGTTCACGTCGAATTAAATTGCATTTATAGTCGATTATACTACAGTTATTAATAATTTCCAATTTCTATTATCACCATTAGATTCTTGGAGAGATTGGCTTCACAATGATATTAAGATGGAGTTTTATTTCTCCTTTTGCACTATTGAAATGCACTAACACAATAGGTGACTCTTGAACACCGATGAACCACCCAGGCACTTCCAAAATACATATCACAGCACTTGTATTGTACTCTACTTTCCTTTTTTTTTAATTATATTTCTTATTACTTATTACTAAATAAGAACCAACTAGTTTTTTTGTTTTAAATATGCATAATTGGACTTTTTCTTTCAAAGTCTAAAGTATGCAATAATTTTTAGAAAGATTCTCTGAAGTTCTAAATTTGTTTATTTTTCAGATAATGGAAGTTCAGAAATTCAAAAAGTCAATAAATGCCGAGTCTTAAATAAAAAATGTATTACAGAGAACAGTTAAAAAATATTTTCTAAAACCATACTGATTTGATGAAGAAAACATAAAACTGTGAAAAAAGGGTCAGAGAAAATAAAGAAAAAAATTGTATGGAGTTAATTAAAATATTATACCTGAGAAGAAGGGGGTTAAGTGGTAGAACAACAGAGTAGTACTTTCCGCTGTCGAGTTGAACTTTGCCCTTTTTTTTCTCAAATATATTTTAAAGGATTATTTTTATTCAAATAAACTGAAAGAGGAAATAATAAAAAAATATTGNAAGATGACCCTGTAGAAGAACAGAATTCTGCGAAATCATGACAGAAACCATTGCAAGGCATGTTATCTATTTCCACAATATTTGGTTTAGTGACGAATGTATTTTTTTTTAAACGGCAATGTTCACAGACCAAATTGCCGTTATTGGAGTGACACCAACCCTCACGATTTCCGGGAAACACTTACCCAATATCCAGAAAAAATTAACGTTTGGGCAGGAATATTTGGAAAACCATACTGTAGGACCTCTATTTATTGATCAAAATTTAACACGGGAACTGTATTTGAATATGCTGGAAACTACTGTTGACCTTCTCATCACTGAAATCCTAATAAATTCGATATGGATATTGTATTCCAACAAGATGGAGCATTTCCACATTACTCCAGACAAGTAAGAAACTATTTGGATACTACTTTTCCCGGTCGTTGGATTGGCCGTTGAGGTCCTACAGAATGGCCAGCCCGCTCGCCAGATTTGACACCTTTGGACTTTTTTATGGGGCTTTTTGAAGCAAAAGGTGTACGAAACTGCGCCTGCTTAAATATTGGATATACGGCAAAGAATAATAAATATTTGTAGAGATATTGACGTTACTATGCTCGAAAATGTTCGGCGTGAAATATCGGATACGCTGTTCATATGTCAAGAAAGTCAAGGCAACCATTTCGAGCATCTCCTAAACTGCCCTCAAGTTTATTACCACATATTATGTAGTTAAATGTCAATGTATTCAGGCAATTATTGAAAGTTCCGCCATTTTGTAGTATTTGAAGATATTGACATTATATTCTAGGGTTATGAAGCATGTGTCAGGAGCTTCAAAAAGATGTGTCACAAGACCCCCCCTTTCGATTTATTTTTTTTTTCCCAGATGGCACCCAGTCGCCATCTTGAAAGTTTCATCTGGCAATTCCACTTCCAAATAAAGTATTCCTGCATTCATTTCATTATCCCAAATTTCAATTTTTTGAGTTGATCGGTTCAAAAAATAAAAGGGGGGAGGCATTGAAGAAATGCACTGTTTTATTCATGGGAATGCTACACACTGAGATATATGTATAGAAGAGTATGGTCATCATAGTGTCTTGATGCTATTAAAGAAATAGTGCTTCTAGTTTTAATGTTATCCAAATTGGTGGTGATGAGACAACTGTCATCACCCAAAACTTCGAAGTACACCACTGAAAATGAAAGTGTTCTGTGTTATATTTTATAACAATACTCTCTCATATATCAGTCTAGGGTATCGTTCATGCCATCAAATATAATATGTCTGAACTCTGTCCAATCAAGCAACGGAGTGCTCCAAAATATTATCATGCATAATGCACGTGATCTCCCAGACAAGGCTGCTTGTACAGAGTCGCACTAAGAAACGACCGATTTTTTTTTAATATGCGGCTGAGTATACAAAAAATTTTTTAGGTGGAGTGTAGGGACACAAATTAGCAGTTTCTTCTGCCGTATCAGTACTTGACATTTTAAAAATTTCAAATTTCAAAATACCGTATAGTCATTAAAACGTGACTGACCACTTCGACACTGTAGCAATAAATTCCGCCAGCCGATTGCAGTTAAATCTGATTGCGAAAGGACGCTTGCCAGGAGGCAAGCCAGCGAAAGGAGGCTTGTTGATTTTACCCAACAGATGGAAATGTGCGTGGTGTCCATATTTTGATCACGCATTTATCATTGTTTGAGTTGCTTTGCTTATTGGATGGATATAGTTTAGATATCATTTCAAGAATTATGTAGATTGCATTTAGTAGAGGGTTATATAACTTTATCCTCTGTTAATTGTCAACTCTTCAACTCTTTAAAAACGTCAATTTGGTCATTACCTGAATTTCAAAAGGTTATGAAGCTTTCAATTATTCAACTGTGCAAATGATTTTCTTAAAAAGAAAAAACTACTCACGGCATGCCATAATAGGGTCGAGGATGTTTTTTACTCTTGCCTCTGGAACAAAAACAATCAACATAATAATTAAAACGATTTATGGTGATGGAGAAAAGAAATATAATGGATTGGTTGTAAAATATGCATTTTAAGAAAGTAACATAACTTTTATTGTCAGAAATTACTTTAAAGGATTTTAGCATAAGTTATTTGTTCTCTGCCATAGAATGTTGGTGTCTGTAATATCATGGTAATCTCATGGAGGGAGAGAGAGGGGGAGAGGGAGAGAGAGAGGGGGAGAGGGAGAGAGAGAGAGAATATACTTTATTGTCATAAGAGTAAATCCTGTGGACAAAGTTTCACTTAATCTATAATACAGTTTTTATGTAAAAACAAAGTGCATTTAAATTGATCAATTTTCACTTAATACATGAAATCAGTTTGCATATATAAAAACATATAAGTCTTGCAGGATTCTGGGAAATAATACATGAGTACAGGATGCTGATAAATAATAAACAAATAAGATATTTTTTTAACTATTATCATTGAAAAATTCTTGTATATTATAGTAAGGTCTATCACTTAAAAAACCTTTCCAGTTTCCAAAAACATTGTGAAGACTTTATTTCTGTTACATTCTTTGGCAAGTGGTTGAACATTTTACAACCATTGTAGACAATGGAATTCTTTATGAATGATGTCATTGGTATTGGCAACTTAATGTTGTTGGATTGCCTTGTCACATAGTGGGTTGGTGAGGATTGAAATTTGTTCAAATATTGCTGAATTAAACACACTGTTTCCATTATATCTCAGTCTTATCTGCTGTTAAACCAAGTTCATTTGTGACTACTCTGACTGCATAACAACCAGACGACACTTTATTATACAAGGCATAAATATGGTCTTCAAATTTTAGTTTTCTATCGATATGTACTTCTGAAAATTTCAAGCTACTTTTGTTCTCAATGATGTCATTCCCAATGGGTATATTGTCAAATTCACATCTGAAAGTTATTATGTTAGTTTTCGAAATATTTAAAGACAAACGATTCGAATCACACTAACTCTTAACTTTCATCATATCGATAGATATGATTTTAGTTAAATCATTTGCATTGTCCGATTGCCAAAAATTGATACTATCGTCTGCAAATAGTGTGAATTTTCCTGATATATTTATACTTGTCAAATCGTTGAGGTAGATGAGAAACAATGTTGGCCCTAGTATTGAACCTTGAGGCATACCATTACATATTTTCCTGATTTCTGAGCGATGAGTTGTTTCCACTATCTGACTACAACTTGACAAATATGAGCTGAACCAGCCCAGTATCACTCCTCTGAAGCCGTATTAGGGAAGCCTCTGCAACAGTATTTCATGATCCACGTAGTCGAAAGCCTTCGAAAAATCGCAAAATACTACAGCAGCAACCTCGCCAGTATTGATTCCAGTATAAACTGGAATATCGATATTAATTGTGACATTATTTATGGTGAGTTTGACGTTATTGACTTCAGAATTCAATTTTAATAGAAATTTGAGTATCATTGAACAAATTGCGGCAAAGAACAATTACAAGGTAGATATTACTGACTACAGTCTTTCTAATAAAACACTGCGGAAACGAGCTTTTTATGTGCTTTAATACATCAACCTACTCAGTGAACCCACTAATAGTATCCGTGTCCGCTCATCGCAGATGAAAGACTTAACAACAGAATTCTCCCCGACTTGAGTGAAATATTTCACAACACGAACAATATCATCAAATTCCTACAAATTTTTGATTTGATCGAGCATTTCAGTGACAATATTTTTTTTAATGAGTAATTTGTAATTTGTTAGGAATCACACGTTAAAAGGTAAGACCTCGTTAGTCCTTAGCTCGCACAAGTTTCTCAACTTCTGAGAGTTGTCGTTCGTATGGGGGCGACAGCTGATTAACAGAAAAACAGATTTTAAACAGTTAACAGTTGAGCTGAAGAGACATCATGGAAAGACTAAAATTCAGGCTCAAAATATTACCAAGATACAGACTTGGCAAATGGTTATACAATTGCTGGCTCTGATATATTAAATTTTGTTTCATCAACAATGAACCAGGTAGGTAGTGGAATAGTGAGATTTTTTTCTTGGTGAGTTTTCTTATTTTGTTGGTGTTCTCAATTTTTTTTTTTTTTTCGATATTTATACAGTAAGTTCATAGTTTCCAAGATGAAGATTTTATGTCCAGTTGAATGTAAAAACAACTAAGCTTCAGGTTTTCAGAAGAAAGAATTCAACAACATTTGGAAAAAAGAAAAAAATTATCTTATAGTTTTTTGAAAATAATATAACCTGAATTTAGACATTTCTCTATTAGAACTTACATAATAAAAACAATGCAGACTAGGCTGCTGAAATAGTTTTTATACGCATTAAAAAAAAATGAGTTTGAATCAGTTTGTGTTTTCTTACATTTTTACACAGTTTGAAGTTTCATTTTTGCTGCCTCTGGAAAGTTTTGTATGGATGGCATACATACTCTTTGAAATAATTAGTATAAAATATACTCACGGATTTTCAGATCGTTCCATTTTCAGGTTCACCCAACCAGGCTCGTTACTAGGTTCTAATGGTTTTTTATAAACTTTGTCCAATCTTAATTGAATATGTACATCATATTCATCAGGTTTTGTTACTTTTACTCCATCCCAATAACTCCCTCCATAATATTTTTTGGGAGTAAGCATATTGAATAAGGGGTTTTTCTGCCTCATCTTCTCGAGTATAGTGTCCAATAACTAAAAAATATTAAGGAATTAATACAAAACTGGTAGATAGCCAAATGTTTTAGGTCACATAGATAGATAGATAGATAGATAGATAGATAGATAGATAGATAGATAGATAGATAGATAAAATGTATTATTGATACATCGTCAGAATAACCAAAAGGGTGAATAGAGGTGCTTAGGCTCTGTATATTGAACATCATATCATTGACATAAATAATAAAAAGAATGGGACCTAGTACAGATCCTTGTGGTACTCCGTGCTCCATGGCTACAAAATCGGATACTTCATTTTCCCGATGCACTCTGGCTTTCCTATTTACAAGGTATGACTTGAATACTCCAATACTTTATCACAAACATCACTTAGGGCAGTAACTGGGATTTTCCAGATCGATAACTGTACTGAAAGTTGGTAAGCAACTCATTTTTTTCAAAGAATTCCACTAGTCTAATTTTTAATACTATCTCGAAAATTTTTGCTAGGATGGGTATTATAGAGATAGGACGATAACTATTAGCATCATCGTGGTTACCTTTTTTAAATATTGGAGATATCTGGGAGACTTTGAAAACTTCCGGAAAGATGTTATGCGCAATACAGAAATTAATTAGATGTGTTAAGGGCTCAATGATAAAATCACTGATCAGTTTTATAATTATACTGTTCAATTCAAACACATCTTTAGCAGACGAGGTTTTTAGACCCTTTATGATGTTATCAATCTCATTTTCAGTTGTAGGATATAAGAAGATAGATTTGTCTACAGTTGGTGCCAATTTGAGATACCTGTAGAAATCGTCATTGTCTCTATTATTCACAAACTGCGTCATCAGATTATCGATTACATTCACAAAGCATTGAGAGAAGTCATCCGCAGATATATCAGACTTGACTGTACACTGCAATACACTCTGTTGCAATTAATAACATTCCAGGCTGCTTTTTGCTTATTATTAGATTGGTCTATGTATTCCGAATTACTTTCCAATTTAGATTGCTTAATTTTTTGCTTGTATTCAAGTTTCAACTTTCTATATGCTATGCTATCTTCATCGTTCTTACTATTGTTTGTTATGACTTGAATTGCTGATAGTGAGTTTTTCATCTGGGGGAATTCCTCATTGAATTTAAACTTCAATTGTTTTTTCCTAACTTTTTTCTTTTGGAAGCATAACGTATATTGACATGACAAAAAATCAGTTAGGAATTTAGCTTTTTTATTTGGACAAGTAATACTGTAAAATTCTTCATTATCAAAATAAGTCATGCTATTTATAAAATCATGTATACTGTTTACACTCATAGGTCTGCATATCACTCCTAATTAGCTTTCGAAGCAGTTAAGTTGAGATAAAAAAGTATACCTCGATGATCAGACAGATGTGGTTTGATTACTTCAGCCGAAAACTCTTTTTCAATGTTGGTGAAAATATTATCGATTCTAGTGCTACTGTTCGGAGTTACTCTGCTGTCCATCATTCACCCTTTCAGTCAAGTTATAGGTCAACATAACATTTTTACAATCATTTACCGCATTGTTACATTGATTAAAATCAATGTTATAGTCCCCTACCATAATTACCTGTTTATCTCCCGCCACATGTGCTAATACATTGTCAACTGCTTTTAGGTACGCATTTATTCCCTGCCCTCTGGATGACCTATATGTGCAGATTATAATCGTTTTTTGAGATAATATTTCAATTCCAGCAAACTCAGCAGTTTGTTCTAAACAGAATTCAGACAAGTCTATACCCTTCAATTTCAGATTCAAGTCATTTCTAGCAAATATACATATTCCTCCATGCCCAATATTTTCCCTGCAATAAAACGATATGAGGCTGAAATTTGGAATAATAAATTTATTAGTCGTTTCTAAGGGGTTACTTGCGATAGCCGTGGGTATAAAAAATGATTGCTTTCTTCTTCCCTGGGTGTGATACGAATACCTGCTGGCACCTTCTACTTCTTGCTGTGGAACAGCTTTTTCTGTTAGGAAATTCCAAATGGTTCTACATAGAAACAACTTCCCTTTAGTAGACAGAGAGTACCCATCTCTAAGATAATTTGATCTTCTTAAGTGGTTAGAACTACGTATGTTCATCTGATGCAGTTCTTTCTTCAGCTGTAAGTTGCCCTGGTATATTTCGTCATTGATTCCCCTAATATCATATCTGTAAGGTTCCGTCATAATTATAGAGTGTGTGTGCTTTAAGTTCAATATAAATTTCTTTGTAATACTCTTGGATAATTTTTCCGGCCATATGATAACAAAATCATTTTTAGTGTTGTCTATAGCCTTCTCTATTAGTTTGTCGGGAGTACACTTTGGTTTCAGAATTGATTGTATTGAGTAGTTTTGCCTATTTTGTGCCACCAAGAGCCTGGCCATGTCTCTACCATGATAACCTGCTATTATAAGTATTTTATTTTTGCCTGTAGCTGACTCATACTCCGTTTCACCACTTTGTGGTACTTTGCACTCTTGGTTATGGGTCAAAGTAGAGGTCTGGGTGGAAATTGTAACTGTTGACTTCTTTGTCGTCTCCCTCGGCGTTGTGTTCGTTGGCATTGTTCGTTGTATTGTTGGCATTGTTCGTTNATGAGAAATCTGAAAAATCGGTTATATCGGGGGTTTGTGGGAATCTTCCAAAGAAAGGAAGAAAGAAGTTAATCTCAAAATAAATTCCTCACAAAGATGTGTGGACCATGCAAAGAAGTAAGTTTCAGACATAAACTGTAAGAAAAAGTCCTCTTGAAACAACTACTTTCATATAAACATTGAAATACACAAAAGAATAAATACTTTTGAAACATATATCTTTTTTTACCTCATTGAGAACTGCATTATTGGCAATCACTTCATCTACTGGCAAAGCAATAAAGTTTCCGTTAATGTATTCCAAAATTTCGTCCATTTTGATATTTTCTCCTTTCCTGAAAAATGAATGATTATACTATTATACTATGGTACAATACAGAATTAGTGATAACATTTTATGGTAAAATTTTCGCATAACAGCCTACAAAACTGAAACACAAGTTTCACCATTCAATAGTTGATTCCAGGCAAGTCAGTATAATGATAATAAATCGTCCATTCCACGGTTGTACTTCCCTCGACAACAGCTCAATATATAT